CTGAGGGGGTTTTGTCCCTTGCTGAGCACATCCGGATGATCCATGTGTCCCCCCGTCCTCCCCCGCCCCGTGCCATCCTCCATGCTGTGCAGGGTGTGAGCCAGTCTCCCTGCCTGTTCCCAGCTCTGCCATCCTCATCGGAGGCACAGAGGCTTGGGATCAGACTGTTGATTTTCCTGGCTGCTGCTTTTCATAGTGTTCAACTCCAGCTGCAAGGCCCAAATCTGCCTTCCCTCCCTCTGCTCCGTGGTGTTTCTCCCTGCTGGCCTCCTAGCGCCATTTTCCTTGCCTGAGGAGCCCAGGGTTTTGACTGTAGTGTGAGAGCCAAGGGGACTGCGAGCTGGTTTCCAGCTGGGCTTTCAAGGGTCCCACGTCTGTCCCACCCCACGCCACCTTGTTTCTCATCCCCTTTGGTTGGGAACCCTGCAGACAGGGTCCTGCATGTCACCAGTACCCACTTGGGGTCCCTTCTGTGTCACTGTACACAATTGTACAGTTTGCTTTGCAGTTTCTGTTGCAAAATCAAGAGCAATCTTAGTCTAGCACCTGGGGAGGATACTGCCTCCGAGGGAAAGGTATTTATAGCACTGCTGCTTTTGGCGTGTCTGGAGCTGTGGTTGAGCCCTGCTGCCAGGCTGCAAGTAATGTCCAATTTACAGCTGATAAGCACGAAAAGCAGCGTGCACTTAGCTGATTACCACCGTAATTGCCGATTGCCTTGGCAGCCTTCTGGGAAGGCTCTTTCTGGATGGGGAGTGCGTGCTTTGCGTGGGCTTTGGTTTGGAGCCACGGGGCCCTGTGAACCTGCTGCGGCGTTCACATACCCTGCCAGCGGTGGGATGTGCAGGCCTGCCCGTGAGGGCTGTCCGCCACCTTTCCTGCTGGCACGCTCCTCTCTCCAGTTGCTGGAGTTTCTGTACTGCTCCAAGCATGTACTCTCCTCCTTGTTTCTCCTTCCTGCTCAGCAGGACCACGTCCTACAGCGCTGGGAGCAACATGGTGCTATCCGGCTCACAGACACCGTAAAACATCTCAGGCACCAACAATGTGGCCGAAATGTACAGTTTGATACCTAGGTTTTACAGACTAGTGGTAAGTTTTGTGGGGGGCGGGGCAGCGTCTTTGCCTGTGGATGCTATTTGGAGAGAGGGCTGGGGAAGGACCTGTGGAGTGTGGGGTATCCATGGCTCACGTGGGTCCTTTCTGTGATCCTCCTTTGCCACGTATGTGTTCCAGAAGCGCTAGGTGCCTGAACTGCCGGTCCCTGTTCCTCCATTTCCATTGCTCAGCAAAGCTGTGCTCTTTCTGGCAATGACACTGCAGCGTGCCAGATGTGTGCTGGCTTCTGCTGGAACATGTGGTTGAAATGCTAGCGGAGGAAATATTTGCTGAGTCAACTTTTCTTTAAAGCTAAAAAACCCCCAAAGGTCTGTTTTGTTCTGGAAGTGCCTCCATGTCCTGCGTTGAGCCGTATGTTTCTGTATGACAGTGCTTTCCTTGTGCTCGCTAGCAAGCCTGTTCCTAAAGAAGAAAATCTCTGAAAACAGGAATGATCAGATAGGATCCGAGAATTTCTCTTGGGTTTAAAGGTTTGAAAATAAATTTCCGATAGTACAACTTGGGTGACTTTCACTCTTTGAGCTGAAGCTGCCATCTGTTTTCCAGTGGCTCTGAGTCTTCTGCAGCCAGACCGAGTACTATGATAGTTGATCTGAGAGAGCAGCCCTTCAGCAGCCGAAAAGCTGTGCTGCTCAGCACGTTTCTGGGCTGTTTTGGGGCAAAGTGGTGACAAGCCAATACCATTCTTTTCTTATAAAGCGTGTGATCCCTTGGGACTTGGCTGTGCTTAGGCAGTGCTCCGGCCAGGCTGTAACCCTAGTGTGGCAGGAGCTTCAAAAGCATGGTGACTCCATAGTCATGGCCGTAGGCACTTCTTTTTCTGCACAGTGGGTCGTGGACCACTGAGAGCTGGCACCAACCAGAGGGTTGCCGTGTTCTGCATCCTTTAAAGATTTCCTCTGATCTCTTAATTGATCTGGAATGAGACCATCTTCTAAAGGCAGATGGGCAGATTTTTAAACTGCAGCAAGCACCTGTATTTAGTTGCATGCTGGGTGATGAATGCTCTTGCTGGTGGGAACACGTTTCCTCCCAGTCTGCTGAAGCCCTCTTGCTCAGGAGAGGTGGGTGGATGGCACCACGTGTCTGCGTGTTGCTCAGACAGATAGGTCTCACCTTGTTTGGCCAAAGGCTACTCCACGTTGCATCCAAGCATAGGCATACATGTCCTGGAAGGGCAGGCTGCGCTTTCTCCAAAGGCCACGGAGCCCTTGGGGAATGGAGAGAAGATGGTAGGAAAGGAGTAGGAAGAGAAGAGCCTGGCTTTGGGGCAGCAGGCAAGAACACAAGGACCAGTCTGGCTGTAAGCGATAAGGCACTTAAAAAAGATCTGAAGGCTGTGAGGCCTGGTTACAGGTATTTACTAGGGGAACTTTGCACTAATATTTTTCTTCCCTTCATTGCAATTCATCTGCTATTTGAGCTGCAAAGATCAAAGCTGTCTTCCAAGCAAGCACACGTGGACTTAAGTAAATAGCTGGACCTACACCTCTCTCCAGTGAATAAACACTTTTTTTCTTTCCTCTCTGAACATTTTCAAGCGTAGCTCTCAGGCCTGGAATGCAAAATATTTCACATTAGCAGTGGGTGTTTCCCTTGCTTTCGATATTTGGGAACTTGGAACAAATGCTTATTTAGCAGCAGACAGACTTGGGTACAAGCGTGCTCTTTGTGAAGGCAGTTGCTTCTGCGGTGTTTGCAGGGAAATTCCCCTGAGATCGGAGGGCATGCGATTCTTTGTCCAGACCCCAAGGAAACAGGTCTCGTTCTCCTAACATGAGTGGCAGTCTCATGGGCTGGGACAGGCAGCTCTTTGGAGGCCTGGAGGGCAGCAAGGCTGACAAGATGCTTGGCAGATGCACAAGAACCTTCTTCTTTATGAGGATTTAAGCTGCGCGGGCTGTTAACATTGGGTTTGGGGGAGTTTGCAAAAGCTGTGAACAAGCACAGTGGGTTTTGCTGTGCAAGTGAGAGGGGCAGCTGTACCAATTCACCTACCCAGGCCCCTGGGTGAACGTCTTTGGCATGGTGATACCTTCTGGAGAAGGCTGGTCATGCCTGAGGTAGGAGAAGGGCAAGTGTAGTGTCTTTTACCTTTATAAGAAATCAATTGTTTCTTGTGGGAGAGGAGAAAGGGAGATGAAGAAATGATGATTTGACGATTGGTAATATATTGGTTCTTGGGCAGCAGCGTGAATTTCAGCATGGCAGAGGTGCTGTGCTGGGTGGCCTGTTTCCATGTTCTGCTCCTTGCCTGGGGGATGTTGGGAGGTGGCGTCCAAGAGCTGCTTGTAAATGCCTTTAGTTTGTTAGAAAAGCAGACGTTATATCACATGGCAGGATTAAAGGGCTGTGCTGTGAACGAAGCATACCTTCTGTGCCGGTTTGCCTGGAAGAAGCAATCCCACTGCTGGGCATAGAAGGATTTGTTCTCTGAGAGACCTGATGGGGAGCAGATAGGGATGCTGCAGTTTTTCAGGCTTTTCGTGTAGCTGCCTGCTAGAGCAGGGGCTGTTCCCTGGGCTTTGTTGTGGTTGGGAAGCTCTGCATGCGGTTCACGTCTTGTTCCTCATGTCCTTGTGAACTTTCAGCAGCCCAGACACATTGTGCATCTCTTGCCTTTTAGGGAGGTTATTCAGAGGGAGCGCAAATAAGGTGGGGGACCTTCGGGTCTTTTAGAAGCTGTTTGTTCACTTCCTAACGCCAAAGCTATTGAACCACAGTATAAGAAAGCAAACACACGGCTTTTTGATTCTGGAGGATGTGGCGTGGGCAGGGTCCTGCACTTCCCCCTCCTCCCTCCCACCTGACCCTGTCAGGATCTGCTGTGCTGGTTGTGTTGATGAGCTGTCAGCTCTCCATGTGTCTCTCCTCTTCCTTGCCTGTTGCTGGGGGATCTGATGCAGGGGCTGCTTTCCTGCATTGCTCTTGGGTGCTACATGAGGGAGCAGTGTCCCATCACCTCTCAAGTCACACAGTGCCAGCAAATCCACCTTACATTGTAGTGGGAACTGTTGCTATTGCTGTTTGGTTTAGACTGAACAGCTGGTGTCCCTAAACAAAAAAGGGCCAGACTGAAGGATCATCATGAGGAAGACCATCTCCTTTTTTACTCTTTTTGTGCCTTCTGAACATACCAGCGTGCGGGCAGTGGGAAGGAAGAGGGGCTTGCAAGGCATATCTTTATGTGGATGTAGGTTGGTTTGGGAACTAGGCCAGAGTGCAACAGAAGCTTTGCAGGATGCTCACGAGTGTCTGTGGTGTCAAGGAGTGGAGCACTGAAGGAATAGTTGTCTGGGGTTTCTTTTGGATATTCTCCTCCATGGGAGATGGACGCAGGGTGGTTGTAGTGAAGCTCCTGTGGGCTCTTGAGGTTGGAGGCACATTCAGCATGTTAAGCAGCTGCAGCTCTCCAGGTTCGGGCTGTGTGTCTGGGGGTCTGGGTGCTGCTAGAATTCAGGTTGAATAGAGTCCTGTCTGGAGGTTTGTCCACGTTTCCTCTTGCCTCTGCAAGCTTTAGGCACATTGCAGCACAGTGAGGATGAACCCGTGCCACCCCATCAAGGCAGGGACTCCATTTTGGGTCATTCCTTTGTTCTGGGGAAATACTTGGCAGGAAGTGCTGTTCTCTTGTGTTTACCTGTGTCTCCTTTTAATCTGTGTAGCCCCTGCTGTGTAGCTGCAGAAGATCTTCAAGCCAAACACAAGTGGTCTTTGTTTCAAAGCATCAATTTGTGTTGGCAGCCAGGTCTGCAGCGCATGTGCTTTTCATTGACTGCTGCTCCAGCTCTGTTCCTCGCTCTCGCCAGCTTTTTTTTAAATTTAATAGAAAAATGTTTTTCCTGAGCTTAAAAGGCTGAGCCGTACAGTACTAGTCTTAATTTAAGCCTTGCCTTTTTCAGGGAAGCAATCTCTGTGCACAGAACAGACTGCTTTCCTCTCCTCTGAGAGGTAAGTAATACGTGCTGTCTGATCAGCAAAGAGAGAGGCGAGGGGGACTTCAGAGTGGTTTGCAAGCTTCTGAAAGCCTGGTCTGTGTGCCTGGGATAAGGAGTTTTGGTGTGCCAGCCCAGCTCAGGCCATTCCAGAGCCTGCTTGTCTTAGAGCACTTTGGGAAGGTTGATGGGTAGGTGCTTTTGTTGATAGTCTTTGCAGACTGTGCTGCCCAGGGCTGCTCCTTTGATTTGGTCAGCTTTCAAAAATCCATCCTTTATTCTCCAATTTCAACCATCTGAAGTTGTTCTGCAAAGACTTCTCTTGAAACCGCATTTTAATCCTTAAAAATTTTAGGTGACATCCAGGCGAGGCCCATGTCACTACTTAAAACATTCCTCTTGATAGTGAACAGATGGTTGCTGAGGTGTCCAGGTGCCCCAGAGAGCAGAAAGGAAAACTAGCCAGATACAGCCACAGGAGAATTCAGCCTGGGACTTGCCAGGGTGGAACATCGCAGTGATGTGAGTACTCATGAACTCCTTGTCCCCTTGCACAGCGGGTGCACACAAACTGTGTGTCTGGAGAGGAGGCATGGCTGTTTTTAACCGATGATTCCTCATGTGAGGTGAAGCTTGCCAGTGAGATACCAATGGCCTGTCTTCTCTGTGTCAAATTAAGCTCTCATTTGAATGGAGCAGGCAGAAAGTTTGGCATTTGTGGACTGGGGTGTGCACAGGGCCTCTGAGTGTGTGTGAATTGAATCCACCACCGTCAGATGGTCTGGACCTCAGTGAGGTTGGGATGTCTTAGATTGGCGTTCGTATTGTGCAGGATGATGAATGGGGAAAACTGATATGAGCAGATTCCTGTCTGGGAAGTGGGGTGACACATTTGATTTGAGGTGCGTGAACCCTCCTGCTCTGGAAAGGGAGGTGTTTCAGGCTGGGAGAAAGTGGTGACACACACAGGGTTGCTGCCTGTACTGGGAGCTAGTGCAGGAAGGGGCTGGGGTTTAACTGAGTGATTATTAGAAGTCTGCTTGTATTTCAGTCCCTAGATGACTTCTGTCCTGGAGAGGACAGGAGTGTCCATGAGCGCTTTGCACTCAGACCTCAGTGCTAATGACAGATAGTTGCTTTCAGGGTAGCTCTAAGGCTTTGTAACTTTCCCTCTCCTGTGATGCTCTTGAGAGATGAGGTCTGTCCCAGCCTCAGGATTTTACATCTGGGTGCAGCTTGGGCCACCCTGAAAAGCAGCAAGACAGCGCCCTACTGCTGTCAATATGGGCACACCAGCAAGTTGGCTCTGTCCTCCATCACCCCAAGCCAGAGGGCTCTGTCCCCAGAGCCATGGCACAGGGAGGCCAAGCCTCATCCTGGCTGCAGAGGGGAGGCTTACGTGCCTCTGGGCAGCTCTGTGTGGGGTTGTCCTTGCTGTCAAACGTGATGCTGGCACAAGATAGGCACGGTATTGCTTAAGACCAACTGTAAATGCTCTTCTCATTACGGTTGCTCGTTGGCCTCTTTAGGAGCACAAAGAAAGCCTTTGATTCCAAAACATAGAGTGACTCTGCAAATGGTCAAAGGCAGGACAAGCTGCAGCTTGCAAGTGCCTTTATTGCTCTCCACGCAGCGCGCTTTGGTGCATGTCCTGGCTCTGCTGGGGAGGCCCATCACTTGCGTGGCACAGAGCTGCTCCATGGTGCTGGCACTGTTGAAGTTGGTGGCGGTGCCTGTGTCAGTGGGAAGCTTTCATGGGAGGAAGGCTTTCCCAGCAAAGGCAGGATCAGAGAAGATAAAACCAGACAGTCTTGTAGGTTGCCACACAGGGCAGTGCATCCAGCTCTCCCAAACCATCCATGGGTTTGTGCTGCTGAGGACAAGTCGTTCAGTTGTCTCTGCAGCTGCCCTGCCAACACTGAAAGTCTCTTCCGGCAGTTGAGGAATTACGCAAATTGTCTTGCACCAAAGAAAACAGAGCTTCCTGTGAGTTACTTGTCGTTATTCTTTGTCCCTATCCCTCCATACTGCCTTCTGTGAACACTGGGAGCCATCTGAGTGCACCTGGCCGGTGCCATGGGAGCAGCTGGTTCCTGGGCTGAGCCTCCTTCTGTGGCAGTGAGATGGCTGGATGCCAGCCGATGGTCTTGAAATCACCCTTTCCTCCAGCCAGGTTTGAACGGGTGTTTATCCGCCATATTCCAAACAAAAGCTGAGCTACGAAGGCAATGTGTGTGATTTTTCTCTGCTGAGTTAGCTCCTGATGGCTCTCCCTGCACGTTGTGTGTGCTTGCAGCCTTCAGATGCGTAAGTGGAGGAGGTGCTTGCTGGGGCCTCACCTGGCACAGCAGCATTGACCCTTCTGTCCAGGTCCTGCCTCTGTCTTGCTGCCTTGTTGCTCTGGCCCAGGTGTACCTGTCCCTTTTCCAGTTGTGCCTCCTGTCTCCCCTCTTCCTGGTTCCTATTCTGTATCCAGACCCCTCCATGGCATGGCACACATCCTCTTCTTGGACTTTCCTGTTGCTCAGCTTCTCTCTGATGCCTGGCTGTGAGCACTGCTGTTTTGCCAGGTGTGGCTGTGGCTTCCTCATCCCATCTTGAGATTGCTCTTGTCACCTTGAGCCAGGCCTCCAGTTCATGACAGGTGGTAAGAAATCAGAGCAGAGCTGGAGCAGGACTGCTGAGATGTTCAGGTGGTTCTTGGAAATCAGGCGCTTTTTTGGTAAGAATTCTTTCACTCAGCTAAGGAAGAGTCTCAAAACCACGTGGCCTGAAACAGAAACCATTCATCTGAATGGTTGATCTTTTGGCAAGAAAATAAGCACCCAGGAAACAAGAGTGTCATGCTGGGCATCCTTCAGTGTCACGCTGTGTTCCTGTGGCCTTGCTGGGATTTGGCCCTGCCTCTCACTGGTTGGAGATGCTCTCCTGTGTGGCTGCCATGAAGACAAAGACATGCCATGGGTTTGATGGACCAATCCATTTTACTTGGATTGCTGAGCAGCCACAGTGAAAAGCCAGGCACCTGCAGATATCTCGGCACAACTTACACTCCAGGACCTGATTGTTGGGTGTCTGTTGCCCCTGTTTGTGTGCTTCCTTGGCATTTGGTCGATTAGGATGTCCTGGTGCTTTTCCACTGGTGGGTTAGTGACTGTCCAATAAGGACTGTTTGTTCTTGAGATACATTAGGAATCAGCTGTCCTGCTGCTATTGAGAAAAGCACTTGTTTTTCAAGGAGATTTGGTTAGTATGAATTTCTGTCTCTGTGAGTCTGTTATACCTGAACTTTTCTTTAATTTGTCACTGGGGCTTTGTATGAGATCTGTGGCAAGCTTTCTGCCTAGGTATCAATTTGTAAAAGTATTCCAGAAAGTGCCCTGCTTGCATATTCTTCCCACTCAGTGACTTTTCTCCATTTATAGCTGAGAGGTAATGTAGCAATGTCTCAATAGAGAAGCTGCCTTTTAATTAATATTGCATGAGCAGAGGAAATATTAGCTCCTCTGTCTACTTTCCTATTTTTGTGGCTTTTAATATAGATTCATAAATGGCTCTAATGAAAATAAACAAGGAACTGTTCCTTTTTGTGCCCTCTTTGCTTTCAGAGGTGATACTACAGGTCCAGCCTCCCTGGTGATGTTTACCCCAGGAGGCAGGTCCTGGGCCATAGCTGGACAGCCGTGCTGCCCTGCACAACCATAAATAGTGATTGTGAAATGGGGCTGGTCTTCAGCTTTCCAGCAATGAAAAAAGAAGGAGCTGGATGAAATCTGCAGACCTGTAGGGCATAGTTGGCGACAGATACGGGGTGTTGTGGATGATGCTTTGTAGCCAGGAGGAAGGCAGTGCTACATAGACTGAAGGTGGATGTGCAATGCACATCAGGCAGTATTAACTGGCGTCCCTGAAATGCTCGTGAGAGGTGACACAAAAATGATGCAAACCTAGAGAGAATCCCTGGGCAACCAGTCCTTCCTCTGCAAGCTTCAGATGCAGGCAGAGGTCAAAACCTGTGCAGAGGCCATATAAATAAGAGGGGCACCAGTGGAGCTAGTGGAGTGAGGCCTATTTCATGTGTCTCCTCAATGCCTTTTGGCAGCTCCACTTATCTCTGACACTGCTGGATGCATGGGACAATTTTTAGCTTGCAGCACCATGGTGGCTGCTAGGAAAAGCTGGTGTGTGTTGTCGGGAGTGCCATTCCTGGGAACTGCTTCCCTTCCTATGGGAGGGGAGCAAACAGTTCAGACCTTCAGTAAACCAGGTAGTGAAGCAGGATGCTCCAGAGACTCTCTCGCCTTGAGCTGGACCATGGCGCAGCCTTGTTCTGTGGGGAGTATGGCTGCGGGATTGCCCCGGATGTAGAGCTGCGTGTGGCATCCCCCAGCCTCTGTGCCACCCCTTCGCTCCTGGGAAGGCAGAGTGACTGGATGCATGCTTGCGGGTGAGCCATTCAGAGGGTGCTGCATGCAGGGGTGCACCACTGAATCCCTGCAGCAGTTGCCGCAGCATGGATGTCATTTTCAAAACTATGGCACTAGATGAACCGTTTCTCCCATGAGCTGTAAGCTGTCTGGAGAGCTTGGCCAGCTGGATCTTCCTGGCTTCATGGCAAATCCATCTGAGGCTCTACAGGCAGTTAAGTAAGGAAAACTTAGCTGTAAATATACTGCCATGACCCGGAGAGAGAGTTAAAATATTTATCCCAGAGCATGTCTTGAGAGATAAATAAGGTCTCTGTCTGCTTCCTTGCATGCAAGGCTCAGGAGGCAGCTGTCCCTTTGTCCCCAGCTCTCAGAATCCTCCTTGGGGCGGGAAGGTTGCTTTTGGGTGGGCTTAAAGTCCCTGTTGATAATGTAAACGTGTAGCTGTCAGCAAAATGGAGAAAGGGGATGCCAAGGGTCCTTGCACTGGTGTCAATGTGAGTTCTGTTCTGCACCCTCTCTCCCCCCGTTGCCCCCGCCCCCAGGCTGCTGCTGTCCCAGCTCTCAGCATGTTTGTGGAGCTTGTTGC